ATCTGTGTGTGTGTGTGTGTGTGTGTGTGTGTGTGTGTGTGTGTATGTGTGAACATGGGGATGCTTATGCCAAGCATGTTTGGGAGTCAGAGGATAGCCTTGGGCATTGGTCTTCATCTTCCCCCTGGATTGAGAGAGGGTCTTTGGACTCAAGGCTAGCTAGCCTGTGTACACACATGAGGATTCTCCTGTCTCAGTCTCACATCTTGCTGTAGAAGTGCTGACATCACAGATGCATGCTAATCCACCCTGCTTTGTGTGAATTCTGGGAATCTGAACTCAGGCCCTCACTCTTGGCCTACAAGCTTTACCTACTGAGTCTTACCAACTATTTTCTGACAAACACAAGCAGCTACCATGTATGTATCTATTTGTGAATGTGTGTCTGTTCACGCATGTGTGTATGTTGGTAAAGGACAAATGACAGTCCTGGGTTTTGTTCCTCAGTTGTCTACCTTTTTTTTTTTTTTCTTTTTTCTTTTTAAACAAACCAGAATCTCTCATTGGCCTGTTGGCCTGGAGCTTGCTAATTAGGCTAGGCTGGACGGCTCAAAAATCTGTTGGATGTACCTGTCTCTGCCTTGCTGGTGCTGGGATTACAAGTGTGCCACCCTGCCTGCCTTTTAAAAGTGGCCTATAGGGACTGAACTTGGGTCCTTATGCTTGCAAGGCAAGTATCTTATTGACTGAGCCAACTCACCAGCCCTCATCTATGTTTATTTTTACTATTAGCTACCAGCGAGCAGACCACCGAATATCTTTATTCTGCCATGCTTTCCTGTATTGCTGCCAGGTTCCATGTGTCTATTTCCCACTGTATTCATTCTTATTGTACCCAGAACGGTCTCACAGAAAATGCATTTACTAGATTCTAATAGAATTTTCCTTTTTCTACTTCCTGCCTTCCCTTTAACTTTTAAATCTATTTTATGCACACACACTTTGTATAATAACTAGCTATCCATCTCTCAGTCACCCATCTACTATACCTATTATATGCAGTGTTAGGTTTGTTTATAGCAAGAGGACATCAGCAAGGCCAGACACTACTCATGCAGCCTCTTTCCTTGGATGATCTACATGCAATGAAACACAGACAATCATACTGCAAGGCTGTCTTTCCTCATTCCTTCATCCACTGAATAAATATTTGAGCATCCACCATGTGTCAGGCACATACTAAATTTATGTCAAAAACTTGAAAATGAAAAGAACCTTCTGCTAGGAAATACTGAAAAGGACAGAGGAGAAATTCTGGGGCCCAGGAGATGGAGGTGGGGGGTGGGTGGGATGGGTGCAAGTGGTCCATCAGACTGATTCAGGTCACAGGTGGCCACAGGCTTCCTGCCCTCACTTTTTTTCCCCATCTCGGTGGGCCCCAGGTTTAATTCTCAAATAGCCTTTCCCATCAGCACTTTCCTCCTTGGGGTTTTTCTCTTGGAATCAACAGAGGAGAAATCAGCAGTCAGATTGGGCACACCCAATCGTATCGCGACGGGAAGAAACCCTCCCTTGTGATCGCGGCATTGTCTGTGGGAGAGCCATCACATATATCATCTGGAGGTCTCCTTTCAGTGTCTCAACAGGCTGTTTGAAAGAGTGCATTTGCTGAATTGTCTTGCTGAGGCACTGTGGTCCTGCTATTTAGACAGACGTTGATGCTTATACCTGTGTGCATGACTCCCTTCATCCTCAGAGTGGGTGTCTCCATTTAGAGTGGGTGAAGGATCAGGGACTTCAGATCAGTCTCTGTCTCTACACACACACACACACACACACACACACACACACACACACCACACTGCACACTGTAGCCTAGGCTGGCATGGAACTCACCATGTTGCCTATGAACAAAGTATTTCCCTCTTCCCACAGACAGAAAACTGGACAGCCCTCTCCTAGCCATGTGCTGTGTGGGTAGAAATACTCAACATGAGGGTCTGGGTGAGGGTTAGGGATATGTCACCATGCTTTTATTTCCACTGTACTTTCACACTGGCTCACTGACACCTGTAATGACTATGTGAAATGAGAAGATCTAGTCTGCCACATAGCAATATAGAATTGATACTATCTAGATAGTATTATTTAATCTGTTTTCTAATATAGATGTAATGATGTGTAAGCAAACTAAGAGGGTGGGACACAAATGGCCTATGAGATATACCGTTATTAAAAAAAAAAAACTGGCACCATTAGGTAGATTCCTCTAATTTTGACTTTAGGAAAATTTCCACAGTGGCTGACTAGACTATGGTCCCATCATCATTTTATAATGATTCCCCTTTAGTCACATTCTGTGCAATTGTTGTTTTCTTAGCCAGTGCCATTCTCACTTGGTGAGATAGGATTTCAATGCTGTGTTTCTCTGACAGCTAGGGTAGTGATTTGAATGAGAATGGCCCCCATAGACTCATACATTTGGATGCTTGGTCCATAGTTAGTGGAACTGTTTGGGAAGGATTAGGAGGTGTGGCCTTGTTGGAGAAGGTGTGTCACTATGGGTGGGCTCTGTGTCTCAGAAGCCCACTCCTTTCCCAGTTAGCTCCCTCTTTCTCCTTCATGCTTCTGTGATTGCTCAGGCACCCTGCCTGCCTTCCACCATGACGGGCATGGACTCTAAGCCTTTGAAACCTTGAGCTCCAAATTCAATGCTATCTTTTATAAGCTGCCTTGGTCATGCTATTTTAAGCACAATAACAGAAAGACAGCTAGTGGTGTTGAACACTTTTTTGTTTGTTTATTGGCCAAGTGTACTTCATGTTTGAAGAATTGTCCACCTGTTTCATTAGCCCACTTACTGCAGTGTTGCACAGTAGGTAAGTCATGGAACCAGCCTGCATGTGTAACCATAGATATATGAAAACAATGTGGAACATATACACAATGAGATTTTATTTTCCAGCCATAAAGAAGGAAGTGATGCTGTTTACAGGACAAAGGGTGCAAGTGGAGATAATCATATCAAGTGATTCTAGTCGGTTTCAAAAAGAAATATGCAGCATGTTTTCTTTGACTTAGGGTCCCTGGATTTTATATAAATTAATGTATGTACCGACCTAATCAAAGGAGAAGTGTAGCTGTCTAATGGGACAACAGGGGTTAATAGGAGTCAAAGGAGTGAGAAATGGGAAAGGGTAAGGACTGGGTAGGGGGTGCTTAAAGCATATCCTCTATTTGTAAACTTAAAAATGTGGCGCCTGAGGCTAGACCCTGTTTTTTTTTTTTCTTTTTTCTTTTTCTTTTTAAATTCTAGGGGTTATATTGTCTTTGGTGTTCAGGGCTGGGTAAACCCAAATTGAAGGCAATTCTTTGTGTCTTCTGATGAAGGCCCTTGTGTAAGGCTTGGTGTGACTGTGGATCGTGTGTGTGTGTGTGTGTGTGTGTGTGTGTGTGTGTGTGTGTACACATCTATGACTAATATATGTGTGCCTGTGCCTCATGTGTGCACACCATATGTATTCCAGGAACTGCAAAGCCTGGGAGCTCATCTGCAGTGGCCGAGGAAGGAGGACCTGGACTGAGAGAGTAAGGGACAGCCATTGCTTTCTAGGTGCTGTGGAGAGGCACCTGAAACTTGAGTGCACTTGGCAATGGACCACAGTCCCTGGACAAGCAGAAGAAACAAAGTGGAGGGTTCCCCTGTCCATAGCTTTAGCTGGACACCACCCTTATCTTCCTCTCTAGTGACTACTGTGTCTTCCTCTCATTGTCCTTGCCTCCCTCCAGCTTTATTTCACTCCAGCCTGCCAAAACCAGTCTGGGGCTGACTGGAGCTGGGCATAGGGATGAGGTGTATTTAGCCCTGTAGAGAGACCACCATTATAGCTTCAAACACCATCCTTGTGAGTGACTGCAATCAGAATATAACCCACAAGTTGGATATAGTCTGTTTGATTCACTGATGCTTTTTAAAATTTCATTTCTGTTTCTTGGAAACAGCCAGACGCAATATTTAGTTGCTGTTTCTCACCCTAAAGAATTGCCAAGGTAAATAATGCTCTGGCCCCTTAGGATAATAATTTAGGCATTTGGACTGTAGGAGGAAGAGGAGGGGAATTACCATAAGCTTCGTGTTTTGTTTGCACTTCTTGATTTGGAGTTGTTTGTTTATTTTCAATGGCAAGGGAAGTAATGTTGGGAAGAATTATCTACATTTACCTGATAAACTAAAACTCTGTTTGCTAATATAAAGAATGAATCAGGTTCAGGTAACTGTGGTTGCAGGTGATTTCTTGCAACCCGTGATTCAGTGTTTAATCTACATTGTCTTTACCCAATAGATACCATAAATCACAGCTTGCCTTCCAGATGCAGTTGGCCTGTAATGTAAGAGTGATTAAAACAACTACAACGGCAGCAGCAGCAGCAACAACAACAACAACAAAAGCACTAAGTAAATGCAGAGACCATTTTGCAAAGCTCAATTACACCAGCATAATGAGAAACACCACATTTCTCATAAAGAAACCCATAAAAGGTGGAGTTTCTATCAATTGTGAAGAGACAGCATGTAGAGAGGTTCTGAGGCTGGAAGTCTTACTACACATCCTAACCACAGTTCAAACATATGGAGACTGCAAAGAAAGATGTCACCTCTTAATGGCTGGCCTGTCTCCTTTAGCGTTCATATTTGTGACTTTGAAAACTGAATATTTAAACCAAGTTTAACTTATCTGCGTCTATCCAGGAAGAAACCATCACCACTAACAGAGCAGGAGAAGGAAGATTATGGCCCTAAGTTAGGGTGACATTAGCAAGGACAAGGTTCAGTGGATAACCAGAGACCGTGCACTTGGAAGTGTGTTACATGCGATTTCTAAATTTCTCAGGGAAGAATTTCCTTTTAATCATTTGAAGGCTTTGATGGCTGGCATGACTCGTGTAGACAGATGAGGGTGGCAGGTGGCAAGTTCCACCATGCAGGCAGGCTGTGTACATAGAGCAGCTCTGGATACAGCACAGAGCTGGACATCCTCCTCTTTCTCAGTATCACTTACCCTGAGCTTTCGGCCAAACACGTTGACTTTGCCTTGGGCTTGTTCTTTTCGGAATCTCCATTCTACCAGATTCTGTCCGTTCTCACCAGGAAGAGTCATGTTTCTTTTGGCCACTGTGGGATTCGCAGTGCCAGCCAGAACGTGGGGTTCCGTCTGGTAGTGTGAGTCTAGACCACTGGCATAGATGATTCTAAGGGAGCTGTCGTAACCAATCTGGTAACTGTTTCTTAACTGGTCTAAAAAAAAAAAGGAAAAAAAAAATAAAACCGAGAAGCAGAAAAAACGTGAACTATTCTGTCTATATTAAACATCGGACAAGGAGGACATTCAGAATTGATAAATATTTCTAAAACATTGAGACCCACTTACAAAAACAAATGAGGTTTTTAATGGTGCTGCTATGGTCTGGATAACTAATGTCCCCTCAAAAGAGATTTAGGTGTTGGGAGCCTGGTCTGTGAGGTTAGTTTTGGAGTCTGATAATTTTAGGTAGTACCTGTCTGAAGGAAGTACATCCCTGGGGCAGGTACCTAATACCATCCATCCTACCTACCTTCTCTCTCTCCCTCTTTTCCTGTGTCACTCTTCCTTCCTCTACCCTCCCCATCTCCTTCCTGTATCCCATGAGAAGAAACTCTTCTATTATGTTACCATTGCCATGATGTCTTGCCCAATCTCACGGGCAAGCAGCCACGGTCTGAAATCTCTGGACCTGTTAGCTAAAGAAATCCTTTCTTCTGTTGCCTCTGTCATTGTATTTTATCATGGTGGTGAAAAAAAGTAATGAATACAGATGTCCTCCCCGAGCGTTAACAGGACAACGCAGTCTTCTGGTATTTCATGCTACCACAGTTTTGGCTGAATATCAAAGGCGGACGTTAGGAGGATTTAAAAGTACCAGTGACTTTAGTAGATGAGATGTAGGTTTGCCTTCTTTGGGATGATCAGCAGCCCCAAGCTCTTTCTTGTGTGTCCACCTCCAGTATCTTAGAGGAATCCCTGCTCCTCAGCCCATGTGCACCCTGCTGTCTTAAAGGTCACTATCCATAGCTTGTATTCTCAAAATATAAAGTGATATTCTCCCCAAAATTGACTTTTAAGAAAATGGACCCACCTAATGTTTTATAAAAACCCCTTTCATATTGTAGACTGGCGCCTCTGTCTCAGTATAAGACTTTGGAGTAATATAGGACCATTCATTGAAGAAATACAAACAAGAACTATTGCTTTTAGATGATTGCAGAGATTGCTTGATGTGTTGTGGAATATTATTTTAACTAGGCAACCATGTGTTACATTTGTTTATGCTGTATTTGTTAACTATGTAAAGGTGTGTTGCATTTTTGTTAATTAAGTAAAATTAACCTGGACTCAGAGAGGGGGGGTTAGCAACTGGTTGACAGGAAGTAGCAAGGAAGAGCTTAGCATTATTAATATTATTACTATTATTATTATTATTGTTGTTGTTGTTATTTGGTTGAGGCAGTGAGGAAGGGAGTGGCTTCCAGACTGCCATCAAAGAGAGAAAGTTAGTCAATTGCTACTCCAACTCTCTGGAGCTCATGGGTTTTTCACTCTAGCCTTTGAATCCCTTTTTATTAGAACAATAGAGATTTAGTTAAAGCTACCTTAAGTGGCAGGAACAGACCCACTGTCTGAGGGAAACTGAATTCCCCTCAGGCTATGGCCTTAGCAGGCAGGCTGTTAGTAGTTTAAAGAGCTGCCACTATAATGAAGGTAAAACAACTCCGATGGATACATTTTTAAAAAGGAAAAAGAATGAAACAAAAACAGTGTGTCAATCCAAACTAAACCCAAGCAGAATAGGAGAGGTTTACCACAGGTTTAATCATGTCAAGCTGTGAAAGAGTTCAGATACTACATTAACAGGGTCTTGGGATGTGGGGTAAAATCATTATGGTGTGTATGGCTTCCAATACCACATGAGGGTGGATGACAGCACCTCACCTCAAGTTACTGCAGTAAGATGGCATTGGAAAAGGCATGCTCTCAAAAACTGATAGGGTGACACATATCAAGAGCTGGGGTTCAGTTGTTGTATTAAATAAGCATGGAAAAAGACATTTTTCTAGGCTAGAATTATTTCATTTTATACACGTGTGTGTATGTGGGCATATAATATTGCCTGTAGGGCCTTTTATTTCACTACTGTGTCTAAACATCCCTGTATTCCCTTCCCTTCATCTGGCTTATCTTAGACCATGAAGGTCCACATTCTACTTGGACACCACTGATCACTTGCTCATTATTCATACCAGATTCTGCTTTTGCCTTTACCTTGAACCATGGTGTAGAAAGAATCGATTGAGGACAAATTTGAAGTGATGCTGACGTCTTCGTCTCGGCTGGATGACTCAATGTCCACTGTGATAGCCTTGTCCATATCCCCATGTAGGTTGGTAACCACTCCGGTTGGAAATGTAACATTCGTTAGGCGACCTTCACTGTCATAGCTGAAGGAGAGAGGCATCGTGTGGCGTTAACAAGGAAATGGCCAGCCCTTTTTACCTATACATTTACGGCACACCAGTATTAGCAGCACACATTTGGAGGAGTATTTGTCTTTGTGCATGAGCCAGGTATGCCGAGCAAGGACTTCAAACACGCTTTGAAGTAATCAGACGCCTGTTTAACACAGAAAAATCTCACTGGTGAGAGCAAGGGTAAACAGAATAGTTCTCCATCTCAGCATTTTAGTCTTTGAAGTGTGACCAAAACCCACCTGCACATCTAATTTGCTGTTTCAAAGGGAACATGTTTGCTGATATTAAATTCCTTAGTATTCCTTCATATTTTCCACCAAGTAGACGTAATTCAGTGTTTTGTGCTTTTAAAATTTTATCAACCAAGCCCTCCATGACTGTGCAACATATATGTACTCCCTTCAAACACATTTAAAGTATTATTTTAGCATCTTGACACATTTTCAACACATTAACTAGAAGGAAAAAAAAAAAAAGCCTTTTCAAAACTCTTTGAACAATGTCAGGGGCTGTTGTCCAGGACCTAGTGAAAGGTAGGCAAATGCTGTATTTCTAAACTGTATCCTTAGCTCTAAAGACCTTAAAAATTTCTCAGTGATTGACGTAATTTATGGTAAATCAGGACTTTGGTGGCAGTGATGGTGACAGCCATTCTTAAAGATTACTGGTTTTTTTTCCCTAGAGAAAGATGTATTTTTAATTATGTGTACATGTTGTGGTATGTGTACATATATGTGGATGCCCAGAGAATCTAAAAGAGGGTGTAGGACCCCCATGGAGTTCCAGGTGGTTGTGAGCCTCCTGAGGTGGGTGCTGGAAACTCCTTCAGAAGAGGAGCAAGTGTTCCTGACTGAGCCATCTCTTCGGCCCCCAGCCTCTTTTGTCTAGACTGCTATTTTAGGACTATATGGTATCACAAGTGACTTATTATATTTAGTGAAATGAGATACGGTATTTCCTGACATTTAACATTCTTTGATATTTTATTACATGCTTATTTTTTAGCACACAAATATGGGAAACTTATTTAAATGTTAGGATCCATTTTAAATACCATGCTGTGGTAATAAAAATGTACTCCAGGAACAACACTTGACTAAGAATTCAATTTTTCTGAATTTTCTACTTGTGGCATCCTCAGAGAAAAAATTTAAAAGATGGCCACATTATCTGAATAGGGAAAAACAAATTCAAAATTCTCAATGAAAATTTTAGAAGCTTCCTTGTAGCAGTGATAGCGGAGAGTAGATGTGTTTTAGAGGTGGACAAAACCTGCCAGGGGTGTGCAAACATACACTCACAACAGTAAGTATAAATACAGAGCAATATGGAACGCAGAGCAGAAAAGCAAGCAAATGTTTGCTGTTAGGCAATCTCAGGCGATAAAGATGGTGAAGACAGAGGTCTGCTCCTTCGAGCCTGGTGGTGTGCTGACCCATTAACTCAGAGGGCTTAGGGTCAGGGTGATCTTGGGTTTGACTGACATGATCTGACAGCCTGCCACGTGGCTGCTGTGGTAGGAATGGGCACTCAGGAGGAAGTGGGGGAGATGGAGGAGGGGGGAAAACGAAGGTACCACTAAGCGTCATCATTGCTTGGAGGCGGAAAGGGCAGCGCCAAAGAAACTAAGCAGGCATCCTTCCCTCCTTAGCAATCCCACAGCCCCGAGAAGATTCAGGCATAAACGAAAGAAATCAAAACTAGTTTGCTACTGTCACTGCTTTTCTGAAGATATTATTGATCCCGAAACAAGCAGGCACAGGCTCATTCACACGGCAGAGTGGAAATATAGAATTATGGACAGGATCAGTCTCCAGTAAAGGCTTCTATGCGGTATAATTCTTGCATTACATTGTACTGTTCCCAGTTCGCGAGTCCTTCAGAATTCAACAGCCTCTGGAATCCCCTTACACATACATCATTCTATAGTGTTGGCCCTCCCCCATCTTTAAAATGGCAAGATGAAGATGATATGGTTATGTCACTTGTCCAAGCTCTCATGCCTGAGCTGTCACTGGAACTGTTAGGAACCTGACCTCAGGCCCATTGTTCTTTCTGTAAATCACAGGCCCTGACTCAAAGTTGAGATCTGTCCTTTATACACGCGGCCCTACTCACCAGCAGCAGCTGATTCATTCTTGCTGCAGCCGCTGACCTTCCCTCTTGCTGGTTTATATTTTCCAGCCCCATTCAATCTCAAGCAGAAACTTCACCTTTCTCCTGCAGAAAGCATTTTGCCAACCTTTGACTTGATGCTTTCATTGGCTTACCACTCATTCCATTTCCTGCTGGGCAGGCATTTTCTATTGCAGGCAGCTAAGCACACCAGCCCAGGATGCTGGGCATTCAGAAGGCAACCTGTTAGCCTTTGGTTCTTTGGGAAATAAAAATACAAGTAACCTCTGGAAATGGTACAGTTAGAAGGACATACAGATAAGCTAGCTCCTCAATCGCTCAGCTTAACAGTTTGGCCCCGGAAGTTCTGAATGTGTGCCTGCTAACAAGTGGCTAAACCTAAGTTAAGGCATTAACAGGAGGATGCCAGGAATGAGTAAGAGCCTGCCCTCAGGGCATCTTCCTGTCTAGTTACCTATCAGCTTCTGAATACAAGGGTAATGATAATCCAAAGAGAGCACAAAATAGTTCCGAGTGCCCCTCAGGAACCACAGATCCCCAGAGGGACCAGGATGTAGGCAGAGATATCTCCAGTTGGAGGAGCCAGTGGGAACCTCCTTGTGGTAGCACATGAGGAAGTTGAGGGTCCTGGGGTCTAGGGTATTTGTCAGGGAAGCTGTTAGGATTGGGAGAAAGTTAAGTTAGTCATTGAGCTTTTAGGGGCTGGGAATCTTCGCATCAGAACTCTGTAGGAGAGTCGGGCCTCCAGCAGGCTTCATTATGGGGATTGCTGTGTTGAGGAAGGCTTATAGGAAACCAAAATGTTAATAAGGCTGAGTGTGACAGGTAGCACTAAGGGAGTTTACCAAGGGATGGCAGGGCAGGCAGTGAAAATTCCCTAGACTTGCTGATAACTCAAAACATAGGGAAAACATCAGGGACCAACACAGTAAAGAGCTACCATCTTTTACCTCCATGGTTTCATAAATGGATAATTTAATCATTCTGAAGGCAGAAAAGGCCTAATTTCAGACCAAGAGATAGCTGGTCAAAAGGAATACATTCTGGGGTTGGAAGCAAGTAGTACTGTCCCTTGCTTACCACAAGGGACATGAGGTAGGTGGGGGCAGTTATTCCTGTGTGTGCTTTTATGTTTATGTTGGATGAAGCAGGGCCAGCTGGGTAGACATGATTGGACAAGACATTGGTGATGAATGGATGGACCAGAAAAGCAAGGTCTCTCTCTGTTTTTCAGATTCTACCAGATCTCGCTAGGTGGAGTCTGGAATGAGGGTCTTGGGACCTACTTTAAGAGCAGAAAGGACAGAGAGGGGCCCCTTCAGTATTACAAGGAAAGGAACCACAGTTTCTGTGACCCATCTTGGGGAAGAGGACATGTTTCTGGAGTGGAGGAAGAAGAAAAGAAGGTGGGAGAAGACAGAACTTTCCTAGTCTCTTTTAACTTAAAACACTCAGCAAAATAAAGCCAGGCCTTTGGGTGTTGTGTTATGAACACCCAGAATTATCATCCTCATTTAGTTCTTCATTTCAGTGTAGATCAGTAAATTTTTCACAGTCTAGGACCCTTGTCAACAGAAATGAAAATGAGACAAGTGTTAGACTTTAAAGTGACCAGAGGATTCTGGGTAAAGAGTTGGAACAAAAGAATCAGATATATATATATATATATATATATATATATATATATATTATTTTTTAAGGCAATGTATCAGCAATAACCCACTGGAATGCTCTGACCCTGGAAGAGCTGAGACCTTTCCATCTAATGCATATACTGCTGGACATTGCCTCTGCTATGTGCAGCTCTGCAGTTCTGCTTAATGTTAGTGGCTTGGCCTTGGTGCACTAGACCTCCCCAACATGTTCGTATATTAGAGATGTAGTTTTTTCTTTTATTAGCCTTTTGAATTCACAATGCAATAGGCTCTAGGGAAACTGAATAGAACATCAACTTCATGTTCACTACTCCACTCATCTGGTAGTCTCATTGCTCCTGATTCATCACACAGCACATTCTTCTCTGCTCCCAGCTGACCCCTCTTCATAGAGGACTCTGCTTAGAAAAGACACTCTCCCTCAGGCTCTTACTGACCTTTTGCTCTTGTAGCAATGGGGTACCCTTTTTATGGTTATCTATTTATTTGACTTTAATTTTGATTGCATTTTTTTGCCTACACTTGCTACTTTAGCTTTTGGAGGGCATTTTCTAAACTCCTTTTATGTTTCCTAGGCAACGAGATTATCAGTAAATGCCTCAGAGTCCTATCTTCAGTGATCCCTAGTTTTCATCCTGAGATGAGATCTCTCTCCTTCCCATTTAGACATGCACAACTCTTCATTTTGCCTCCATAATATCTTTCACACACTTACATTTCCATTTCCACAGCTGCCTTGAACTTTTGACAACTGGTCTACCTGCCTCTCTCCACACTTCCTGGTAAATATCTGGAACACTATGATTATAATACTCCCATTGCTCAAATATCTTCAGTAGATTTTCATTTGAGAGAAACACTGACTAGGCTTCACTCTTAACAACTCTATGTCAATAGACTACTGATACTGTAAATTTATTCAAGTGGAAATCATATGCAGTTCTCCAAAACTTTAGAACTTGCTTGACTTCAGTGCTTCTGTTAAAATGGATCCTTTAGTAGAATGTTCAAATATAGTTGTAGATGAGCTTTCTCATCTTCCCAGGGTCTTCTACTATTATCATACGGTTTCTCAGTAGGTATATGGATTTGCTTCCAGACTTGAATCACAGTAAGCTTTCCCTGAAAGACTCATGAACTTTACTTCACTGTCCATCTTCTACGTCTAATAGATTAAAT